AGAAAACAAGTCTCCGGAGCAGTAATTTGAGACATTGGTCATCATGCTAGGTACAACGTGACCTGTTACTAGAATCACAGAACTGACTACTGGCTTTTGCAATAGATATTCAGGCAAAAAGGTGTGGGGAAGAAAAATAAGCAGATGCAGTAAGTTATACGGCTCATGTATTCTGGTTCTTCCACTTCCTTTATGGCACTGCCTGTTATAACGTGAATTACCAAAGGACTTATCTGGCCTTACATAGTCTGTTTTTATAAGCCTCATATGAGCTGGTGACAACTCTTAACCTCATGTACCCCCAGAGAGCCATGAGGGTCCTGGAAGCCTGCACAAATAAGACAAATTAGTAACTCTGATGCTTAAAAAACACCCAAAGAAAGGGACCATCATCTTCACTTTGCCGATGAGTAAGCTGCAGGTCAGAGAAGGTAAGTGATTTGCCTATAGCCAACAGAGCAGACTGAAAGCCAGTGCTCTCAAGATCAGTACTCTTCTAAACACACCAAGTGTCTCTCTCTGAAGCCAGCTACCACCAGGAGAACTGCAACCTGGTGATAGAATCTGGGAGCACCAAGCCTGATTATATACCACCTTCCCCTTTAGGGCTAAATACAACAAAAAAATTTACAAGTATCCAGCAAAACATACTATGTCAAGGTGTCAACACACTCTCAACAACGGGGACTAACTAACAGGAAGAGAACAAAAAATAAAGCAAATCACGTAAAAACCATCTTTCCCAAGATAGGCCATGTTGGTAGATATTAGTGCTGGGTGATGGGTACATGGAGGTTTTTTATTCTATTTTCATATGTTGAAACATTTCAATGATTAAAAAAAAGAATAAAAACTTTCCTTCTAATCTGATCCCTCAGTTTCCCATCAGATTATCATACTAATTTAAAAACTTTATGTCCAAATTAAGGGCTTCCCTGGTGGCGCAGTGATTAAGAATCCACCTGCCGATGCAGGGGACAAGGGTTCAAGCCCTGGTCCGGGAAGATCCCACATGCCACGGAGCAACTAAGCCTGTACGCCACAACTACTGAGCCTGCGCTCCAGAGCCTGCGAGCCACAACTACTGAAGCCCGTGTGCCTAGAGCCCATGCTCTGCAACAAGAAAAGCCACCGCAATGAGAAGCCATCACACCACAACGAAGAGAAGCCCCCACTCGCCGCAACCAGAGAAAGCCTGCACGAAGCAACAAAGACCTAATTCAGCCAAAAATAAATAAATAAAATAAATAAATTTATTAAAAAAAAACCCTTTATGTCCAAATTAAGTTAGAAGAGGAAAATAAACTCCTTTCCATATATGTCACCTAGATCAAGGTTTACACAAATATCCAGATCTCATCGTCCAACTTTGTTAATGTTAAGGTATGTAAAAATCATTTTCATTAATTTCCCAATATCAAATTTGGTGGGAATGTTATTAGACAAAAAGCAGTCAAAGCAAATAAACCTCTTCCAATCACATCATCTGTTGTCTAATATTTTTGAACAGTGAATGGACTTTAACCCTCAGGGTTTGGGCTAGGTAGGATTTATTAATTTAAGGATTTACTTGGCTGCCAAAAAACGATGATTTGACCAAAAGTTTTATCAAGTTAACACAAGATAACAAGCCTCCTGGGACTTCCCTGGAGGTCCAGTGGTTAGGACTCTGCGCTTTCACTGCCAAAGGCCTGGGTTCGATCCCTGGTCAGGGAACTAAGATCCCACGAGCCACTCGGTGCAGCCAAAAAACAAAACAAACAAACAAAAAACCAAAATAACAAGCCTCCTCCTTTTTCTGTATCCTAACAACCTTTTATCTATAAAATTTCTGGAAAAGTTTTACTTTAAAAAAATCATTCACAGCAAGACCAAAAAAAAAAGTTTCTGTGGACATTCACAAAATGTCACAACAGCTAATTAGTTAATACTGGCCAATTAAAAACATAACCAAAACATCTGCCCAGGCATCATTTTTTGCAGTGAAGAAGCAGGGGGGCTTCCTCTATCTCACCTGCACCGCCACACACACACACAGTATGCCACAGGTCCATCACAGAAACGCTGACATTTATGTAAGACGAACTGTCGTTTAAATGGACACAACGCAAATTTATAATACCCGTGAAAACAATATCATTACCAAATAACTAAGAGACATCATACAGCATGCCAAATCAATGTATCCGTGACACTACAGAGATTATGGGACGAGTTTTCCAACGAGCACCTTTAAAAACCCAGCCATTTCTGATATTTATATACTCTCCTAACTCCTAATAAGAATTTTTCTTCCCACTCTTACATTAGAAATTGCCCTTTAAGCTACTGAACCCTTTACGGGAGGCTCTTTTCCAGTTCTTCATCTTTCACTGTCATGAAAAAGGCATCTTTTTAAAATAAAGCAGGCCCCATTAACTTTGCAGAATGCACTATTAAAAAAAAAAAATCAGCTTTCGTTTCTCTAAAAAATTGAACTGACTCTGGAGAGAACTTTCTTAAGGTCACAGGTCTAAACTGAACTCTTAGAGAGCCTCTAGGAATATCATGTACTGGCAGCAAAGGTCCCACGGGGAAAACTTCAGGAAGTGGGATTTCAATTCAACTGAAGGAGGAGCTTTTAAAACACCAGAGCTTTCCAATAATGGAACAGCTGCCTCCGGAGTGGTGAGCTTCCCATTACTGGGAATGGTCAAGGACAGCTGGATACAGAGGCAGAATGAGGTAAATGAAAATGCTTTGGAGCAGTCAAACCTTTTACTGATTCAGCCACTTCCTCTGTGATCATGGACATGTTCAACTAACTTCTAAGCTTCCGTTTTGTCATCTGTAAAATGGAAGCTAGCTCACCTTGAGGGCTGTGAGAATCAGGACCAGAGTAGGGACATGCCTAGCACAGGGCCCTTGTAAGTTTTATTACTATGAATACCTGGCAGGAAAGCTCCACTAACATCCCTTTCAACCCTATGACATTACCACAGTTTATCTTAAGATGGCTTAAAATACACAGACCAAAAAACTCAAGTGCTCAAACTTACTGGGAATTTAATTTTATAATTAAGGGCAGTTACTGACTTGAGGCTATGATTTCCCACCAGGTGCATTTTCTCTCCACCCTCTCCACACTCCATGGTGTCTCATCCTTTATTTTCCCCCTCACTTAAGACTAAACATTAAACTTGCCCTTCTGCCCTCAATAGTAACAATCACAAACCTCTGAAACAGGTGGATGATGAAAAGATTCCTAAACTGGGAGATGGGAGACCTGGGTTTGGTCTCTGGTTCTACCATTAACTCCCTATGTTCCCTTAGGCAACTCTCATTTTTGTACTGGTTTGACAGACTAAAGTACTACTCATAGATATTACCTCACTTGATTTTCACAACCTCGTGGAAGGTATCAGAATTGCCCTTAACTAATAAATGAGGAAATTTATGGCCCCAAAGGTGGAGTGACTGTCCCAGGGTCCCACAGGAAGGAGCAGGTGCAACATCTGTCCCAGCCCCCACCCTCCAAAACCAAAACCAAACCAAACCTATACTCCCAGGTCTTACTAAAGATACAACATTCTCGATTAAACATGATGAATGCATTTTCCTCTCCTCCCTCAGGACCCGGCCTAATCAAGAGAGAAAGCAAGACACTTGTTGCCCTTGGCTTCATCTTCCCTCTCTTTTCTTATTAAGTATAGCCAGCAATTTAAGAGTACAGAGGCTCTGAACTTATCTAAATGAACTTACATACTTATATTCTGAATATTCAAGAAGCTAGTAACACTGGTTGCTTCCAGAGAATGCTGGAGGGCTGAGGAATAGGGGTGAGGGTCCCTTTATGAATTTAAAACCGTGTGAATATCCGTTCTGTGTAAATCCGCCTTCAGTTTTAAGATGAATTTTTAAAAGCTTTGAAAGAATACAAAGTGTTTCTGAAATAAGGGCTCTGCAACACCACTTGTTGCTGGGTGACCCTGGGCAAATCGCTTCACCGATCTCAAGCCCAGTTTCCTCACTTACAAAAGGTAACCACGAACAGGTAACCCTACAAGGGTTTTTAAGAGGAATAAACAAGATAATGCACTTAAAACGTTTAGCACAGTACCCGCACACTGTAAGCCTACAACAAATGCCGATTACCATCATTATTCAGCATTAACCTTGTTATCTTTATTGCAAACAGCACTACACATACACACCTGTTTCCATGGCATACCCACACTTATGGCGCAGTCCCTCACATTAGTACAGCGCTTTATACTTCATAAACCACCTCTCCACACTTCATCATCTTTCAAACTCATGGCAGCCCTGGGACATGACTGTTAACTCATTTCGCAGCTAAGGAAACTGAGGCACTAGGAGGCAGTCACTCCGAGACTCAATTCTCCCATCTCTAAAATCAACTCCAGATCCCTTCAACCCGTTCGTCGCTCCCGGGTCCCCTGCTCCCGGAGCCGTGTTCCGCGCGGCACTGACCTGAGCGAGCGCCCCGGGGCCCGGGACCTCGCGCCGGGTTCACACCGACTAGGCGCGTTCGGGCCGCCAGAGCCTCGCAGCGGCCGGGTCAGCTCCGCAGCCATGGCGCCTGCAGGGAGAGAAAGACAAACAGCCCGAGGCGCGGCGGGTCAACAGAGGCGCGGGCGCCAGGCAACCCCCTCCCCGACCCGGGCCCGCCTCATATACAGACCTGGACCTGCGGCCGCCGCTCGGGTCCGCAGCCTCACAGGGGAGCGGCTTCCGGTGCTGCCTACGTCATCTCCGCGCGTCCCTCCACCCGCGGCGCCCGGCGGACGCGGCTGCACTTCCGGCCCCGCCTTAAAGGGGAAGTGGGAGAGCTGAGGAGCGTAGAGGGAGGCGGAGCATGCGTAGGTCCGCTTAGATCTGTGGCAGATTGTTCAAAGTTTACTTCCAGGCTGTACACACGGATTTGTCCCGCAGGTTTATGTCCGTCATCCAATCTGATCTTGCACCGACTGTGCGGCACTTTTTCTTATTATGCTTACTTTACGGAGGAGAGAGGGAGAATTTAAGAGAGGTGTCCAAAGTCAAACAACGTATAGACATAACATTTATATAGACAATAAGGCACCCGTATGTCCAGTTAGTGGTAGAGCACATCTAGGGTGCTCTTGAAACATGGGAAATAAAAAGTTGATTCTTTGTGGTGGAAACTAAGTATGGAGTCCAGAAAGGTCTCAAGAGAGCAGATTTGATTCGGTAGGCAACAGGAAGCCTCTGTGAACTTCGAAGCCAGAGAGTGACTGATGACAGCATTACAAGAAAATTTAGGAAGACATGGGTACACAGATTGGATAAACTTTATGAAAGAAAAGGCAGTGCTAAGGTAATCAAGAAAACCAGGCACCCCTATCTATTTGCAGCAAATGGTCTCAACCCCAGGATGGTAGGAGTTTGATGAATGAAACTGAAAATTCCAGATGGAGCTGCCCCAGAGACAACATTGTTTCAACCTCTCATGGACAAAGAAACCAAATTGTCTAAGTTTAAGCCCAGAGGCTATCCAGGAGCAAAATTTATGGCTCATTAAAAAATGAAAAGAAAATTGCAAAATTGAATTTGTATTTAATTAAATCCAACACTTGTGTAACCATTCAATTTAGTATATGTAAAAATTCCCTTTCATTTGAATTTTTTTTAGGATATATATTCCCACTTTGTAAAAATCTCCAAGATTGCACAATGATTGTTGAGAAAACATAGCCAACTTTAAAATGTAATGAATTATTCCTAGCCAAATAACTACAAAAACTGCTATGAATGGCAGGTAGGAAGATCAACACGCAAAAAGAAAAACATGAAATATGGCCTGGCGTAGGAACCGAATGTTCATTACAACTGTTTATGTGACAGGAACATATAAATATGCTGGATGTTTTTTCTTTCCTTCCTTCCTTCCTTCCTTCTTTCTTTCTTTCATAAAGTTGCTGCTCAAATGGTATTTGGAGTAATTCCTACACATTCACGCAATAGGAAAATTGCAAACATCAAATGCTTAGTTTCTCTGATTCAGGCTAAAATGGACTACACGTTTTCCATTTTGAGATAAAGTTGCCTGGGAAAGGTAGATGGATGACATATAATTTATTTAGGAATGTTCTTCCATGGCCTATACTAGGAATTCAAAATCCTTCTTGATGAGACATAAACCAAACCACACGTTTCTTTGGGTAGAAAAAAAATGCACCCACTAGGGATGACAAGTATCCCTTGATATTTAACACATTTGTTGCATGTGCAGGTACCAGGGAGCAGAAACTACTCCAACTATTTAGTTTCTTGAGATGCACTCCTTCTGTGATGATGCTATGGAGAGATGATATGGGTGAACTAACTGTTCTTTCAATTCCCACACACATTTCACCAGGCACTTCACCAGGATCATTTTCAAGAGGTAAATAAGGTTGGAAGCATTTGAAGAGGTTTGCTTTCTAGTCTTTGTTCTGGATTCACTCTAGCTGTAACATGATCAGCACTTGCTGTCCTATGGAGCCAGCAGGTATTCTGGGACAAAAGCTCAGGTTGATTGACAAGAAACCTTATCCTTAAAGTCTCAGGCACAAGGTACTGTACCTCAATTGCTGTTAGACTGAGTGATCCTGAGATACATTTGGGCATACTTTGGCATCTGGACTCAATAATTTCCAAAGCCCTGAAATCGTTCACAGACAACATGCAGGCAAGTTTCTTATAATCTTTGAAGCATTTTATATCTATTAAAATAAGCTTTTAGTAGGCTGAAGTTTCTTCTGTGTGTAAATCATCAGAACTGAGAAAATGGAAAGGAGTTCAGATTATAATTGTTTGTTTTGCTTTGTTGGGTTTTCCTATTCAATAGACACGGGAAAGTAAAAGATGGAACTCAGGATTCTCTAGTGGTTAAGAGTGAGCTTTGAAATCTGACAGATTTGAGTTCAAATCATGGCCTTACCTCACCCTCTTATTCACTGAGAGATCTTGGGCAAATTCCTATACTGCCTGTATGCTCAGCTTAAGTTTGAAGATAACATATCTGAAAGGGATATTACCAGGGCTGAATGAGTTCAGGCATGTAAAGTGCTTAGCACAGTGCCTTGCCCCCAGAAAGCGCTCAGGAAGAGGTAAGTGTCATTAGGGGAGTCTTTGTTGATTGAAGCTCCAATGAATAGAGATTTAATTCCTCCAATGTCCCCTGGCTCTGTTATATTGCAATACTACATTGTATATGCTCTTCCAGATGGAAAGTTTCCATCTCTTTTGATGAGGTAGAGTAAGCTTGGCACAGGTATGTCCTAGATCTCTGAAGAGGTGCTATACAGATAGCAGAAATCTGCCCATATTGATAGATGCGTCAGATGGATTAGGGGACATTGTCAAAACAATGTCAGAATTTATTGTTAAATTGAAAAGTCATACTAGAAGAATGTAAATGTTTGATAGTAGCCATTGTTCAGTGGCCAACAAAAGCTACCACTCCATTGAAAAACAGCCTTTGACCTTTGTAGTTAGAGAAGAAACTGATCCAAGTGCTTCAATTCCAGAAAGAATATCATATATTTTCCTGTAGGCTTTTAGCACAATGGCACTTGTTACTTTATATCCATGTGTCTATGTCTGATTTCTCTTTGCTTCCCCAGTGTCTAACACAGTGCCTTGTATATAGTAAGTAGGCTTTCCTCCAAGCAAGAAAACAACCAGCATTTTATTCATAATGCCTGCTGTCCAGGGGGCCATGATATAGTGGGAGAGACAAATAACAGAACTAAATAATAAACACTTAAAACAGTGTAGTGCTAAGTGTTGTGAGAGGTACATATAGTGTTCAGTGGGGACGAAAACAGAAATGGAGATGGAGCTTGAATGTGTGTTCTTTTATTTAGGTGACATTCTGCAGACTTCGGACTCACCAGTGGTGTTTCATTCTGTTTAATGTTATTCTATTTCATGCCTTGCTTTTTGGGGCTGATTTTGTGGAAGAATATTTTCTGCATGCTTTGCCTTATATAGATATGAAAGTTCTTGAAATTAAGGATAAGGCAAGAAAATTGAACATGGAGCCCCTAAGAAGTAATCTTTCCAAATACTATATCCTGAGCCAGTCAGAGGTGTGTAAAGGGAAGAACATATTTTTGCTCTCTCTTATCTTCAGTAGCCCAGGAAATGGAACAAGGCGGGACCTCATCAGGAAAACCTGGGGTAACATGACCAGTGTCCGAGGGCATCCCATTCTCACACTGTTTGCTTTGGGAATGCCTGTTTTGGTGACTGCCCAGCAAGAGATAGACAAAGAGTCCCAAAAGAATAATGATATAATTGAAGGAATCTTCTTGGACAGTGCTGAGAACCAAACTCTGAAGATTATCACCATGACGCAGTGGGCTGTGACTTTCTGCCCTAACGCACAGTTCATTCTCAAGGTTGATGAAGAGATGTTTGTCAATCTACCAAGCTTGGTAGACTACCTCCTCAATCTGAAAGAACACCTTGAAGATATCTATGTAGGAAGAGTTATCCATCAGGATACACCCAACAGAGACCCTAATAGCCAAGAATTTGTCCCTTTCAGTGAGTACCCAGAAGAGTACTACCCAGATTACTGCAGTGGTGAGGCCTTTGTTATGTCCCAAGATGTGGCTCGGATGATGTACGTAGTTTTCAAAGAAGGCCCCATTATGGTGCCTGCTGATGTGTTTGTAGGAATTTGTGCTAAATCCATTGGCCTAATACCCATACACAGTTCAAGGTTTTCTGGGAAAAGCCACATCAGATACAACAGATGTTGCTTTAAGTTCATTTTCACATCCTCAGAAACTACAGATGCTGAAATGCCCCTGGCATGGAAGGAAATTAACAGTGGGAAAGAATGTACGCTGTTTGAAACCTACTATGGGCTCATTTCCTGCAAACTTCTGACATACCTTGACAGCTTTAAACTTTTTCACATGGGTACCGTAAAAAATAATGTCATGTATTATGGTGATTAGGATTTCTTTGTTTTTCTTAAAAGTGTGTTCTTTAAAAATTCCTTCCTACCTTGTTACAGAAAGTGTCCCTCCTTCCTTGTGTTTTATGTAGTTTCTCTGAATCTTTGATTGTACTCAGCAGGTTGCAGTGTTCTTAGTGCTCTGATGTACTACATTGAATTGAGATCTCATTTTAAGAAATTTAAGTTGGTGTAGCATAATTCTTTTCAAAATAATACCTTTTGTCTAGAAAAGAGAGAACATTAAATTTAATTATAACCAAGAGTCTTGTTTCTCTTTACAATTAATGGATTTCTAAAAATCACATTCTATGGAACTGTCATGACTCAGTGATAGCAGCTGTGACTGATTTTTGAGAATTCTCAGAATTAAAGGAAAACACTAAATAAGGAATGTAACAAAATGTTCATCTTGTCTGTAAGATGAAACATTTTAGTAATCTGAGTGGTGGAATTACACTTAAAAGTTTTAGCTACCTAGTATATATTAACTTAAATCTCACTAGTGTAAAGACTTGGATCTCTAATTTTTTGTGAAACAATTTTCATCAAGTCCTAATTAGGCAGTATTTTACAAACGGGATGCAACAAATACACATTTCATGTTATGTATACACTCTATTAGTTTCCTAAAGATGCCTAACAAAGTACAACAGACTAGGTGGCTGAAAACAACAGAAATTTAGTGGTATTAGCAGTAGGAAAATGGCCCATATAGAAAGATGGAAAAAGGGGACTCACGGATACCAGAGATGGCGGAACAGAGATGACTAATCTGGGGACAAGAAAATTCCAGTCACTTGAGAATCATTTTGTAACAGAGCAGGGCTGGTTTATCAACATCACCACCATGGCTTGAAAGAAACCTATCTCTCCATTCTGAACCATCACACTCTGATAACATATTCATGTAGAAACCTCTGGATTGGTGATCACTTTGCTGTTTAGAGAGCAGAGCACTGGAAAACAGGTGGGAACATTTTTTGTCAATGAAAAGCAAGTGCATCCTTTGTTAATCAGTAAGGTGGTATCCTGGTTTAGGCATAGTGACCCCTCCATTCTGACTCTAGTTATTAGGAGTCAGTTTCCCTCTCTCTGATCAACTCAATATGGACCTGATGGATCTCAGAAATTAAAAGCAAAGCTCGCAACAACGATGACCCACCAATAAATAAAATAACAGTTTGGGGACCTTTCTGGTTTAGCATGTTATCACTCCTCCCCACCCAAAACCACAACACAGTAAGATGCCTTGATAAACAGCAAAAAAAAAAAAAAGCATCGAGGAACACTAGAAACATTTTAAAAAGATTTATTATCTATTTTTCAAAGGAATAATAGTAACAAAAAAGCAAAAGAGACCTTATTAAAAGTATTTATTCTTAGTATAGGGAACATAATTTTAAGATTGCATATTACTTGTTTTTCAAAGAATATTTATATCCAAGACTTTGAAAGTGGAATCAGAAGGGAAAAACAGACCAAAAAAATAAGGAAGTGGGGGGATAGAAAGAAGTCAGAAACAATTTAGTTCCATTTTAGTTAAAGTGGATTTTAAAATAAGATGGTAAGTCCACGAAAATTTTCTGGGAGAAGAACAAAACTTCCATCTTCTTGCAAAGATTAAGGCAGCCAAAGGAATCTGAGAAACATCTGGTTCAATTACGATCAACTTTACCTGCTTTCCTGGCTTTACGTTGAATTTCAATGTAGAAACACAACAAATGTTGGTGATAAAATTACATTAGACACTCCATGATAATTCTGGTGGGAGGGAAGTCTGTTTTGTAAAATGCAGATGGATTCAAATGCCTCAGGAGAAATTTTGGTCAATAAATGGTCTAGACTCTAGAAGAAATCACTCTGCTCCTTCCACTGCTGTTGTGGAAATAGGTTTCACATAGTATGGACCTTCGCTCAGGTAAGTTCTGAGCCTCAAATAATTTGGGTTCCCAAAGATTTCTGCAATTGTCTTAGAATTGGCAAGTGCTTTCACCAGTTCATATTTGGCATCCTTTGAAGCTCTGTCACGCTCTACGGACCGGTCCATCACATATTCTACAAAACCTGGACTGTTAAACATAAGTTTCTGAGCCCAGGGTTGGTTTGCAATGGCCTGAAATAGAAGGGGGAAAGAACACAATTCCTCTGAGCCTTAAGTTAAGTTTGTTAATAGGATGGCACAAACCTTAGAAAGAAATTTGGCAACATGAACCTTAAAAATGTTACATTTTGCCCAAGTAAATTCCCTCCTGAAACTCTAACTTAAGAAAATAATCAAAATATTTAAAAAATCTGTAAACGAAGATGCTCATCACACTGTGAAAGGTACACTATAAATCCTTAATAGTGGGAAGATGAGTTAGTAAATTACGGTATATAGCAATAATAAATTAAACATTAAGAATAAAGTTTATAAAGGATAAGTAAATCTGTTATATGAAAAAAGTAGATCCAAATTATACATATGGCATGATTACAACAGTGGAAAAATCAAGACAAAGACTTGAGAAGAAGACTACCCTAAAGAAACTCTCATAGATGTGCATAAGAGGATATTTTTGAGAATGTTCATTGTAGCATCATTTGTAATAGATGCTATCTAAATCTTCATTTACTGGAGATTGACACATTGTGGCTATACAATGAAATACTAATGACTTTCTAATTGCCTCTTTTAATATAGATAAATCTTAAAAACATAACATTAGGGAGAAAAAGGAAATTGCAGAATGATATGAAGAGCACGATACCATTTGCAAAGTTTAAGAATATTTAAAATACTGTAATTTAAGCATATATGCATAGATAGTACAAGTACAAAATCATGCGTGCACTTGTAAACCCTGAATTCATGACAGTGATTACATTCAGAGAGGGAGGAAGGGGAATTGGATTGGGCAGAGGTAGCAAGGTATGACTGTATGTTTGAAATATTACACCAATAAATAGATAAATACTAATACCAATACTAAAAGGAAACACCTTAAAGTCATACCAAACAGGTATGACTCTATGTGCTTTAAAAAATTTCTACGTCTCAATCTTTTCCAAATTTAAAAATAATGAATAAGCAACGTTTATTAAAAATGTTTTTAAAAACCTCACTACTATATTTTAATGAAGAACAAGGCACAATCAAGTTTACAGCCTATGTCTTCCTCTCAAAATGTGTTCTGCAGGCCATCAGCTTCAGCATCACCTGTGAACTTGTTAGAAATTCAGGATCTCGGGCTCTATTCCAGAACCAATGAATGAGAATCTACATTTTAACAAGACATTACAGTTTGAGAAACATCAGCCTACTTAACAATAGTTGAGGATGGGTGGGTTGAAATAAAAACAGCTGCCCAAACCAGTAAATCAAAAATTATCTCTACAACTATGGCTAAGTGGAGCATAACGTAGAAGAGTGGGAAAAAAACAAATCATGAGAATACCAGTGCAGGAGCCAAAATGACCATCACAGTGACTACTGACAAGGGTGAAACAGTCTAAAAACAACATTCTTGAAGTTGACAGGTATCCTGTACCCTTCAAGATGCAGATCCTGTATCACATCCTGTGGGAAGCCTTCCCACTTTTTAAAAAAATTTTCTTTATTTTTGGCTGCGTTGGGTCTTTGTTGCTGCGCGTGGGCTTTCTCTACTTGCAGCGAGCGGGGGCTACTGTTTGTTGCGGTACGCAGGCTTCTCACTGTGGTGGCTTCTCTTGTTGCGGAGCACGGGCTCTAGGCGCATGGGCTTCAGTAGTTGCAGCACACGGGCTCAGCAGTTGTGGCTCGTGGGCTCTAGAGCACAGGCTCAGTAGTTGTGGTGCACGGGTTTAGTTGCTCTGTGGCATGTGGGATCTTCCCGGACCAGGGCTCGAACCCGTGTCCCCTGCACTGGCAGGCGGATTCTTAACCACTGCGCCACCAGGGAAGTCCAGCCTTCCCTCTCTTGTCGCCCCCACCCTCCTAGTTCCCTCCCTCTCTAGGACAAGCGTGCTGCCCAAGATCCCATTATTAAGATTACTAAAGTGATGACTACATTTCTATGAGCCCAGGGAACCAGAGCAAGTGCTGAAGCTACAAAGTTAAATCAGCTATGGCTCTTATTTTCAATAAACTCTGTTGAATAGGTCAATAAATAAACATTTTCAACAAAGTGTAATAAACAGAACACAGAGGTATGATCCTTACCACAACTATAATTATACAATTAACTTTATATTTACTGCTTGGGTCCTTCAATAGACGATGAGCTACATGAATGGAAGGTCTTTGTATCTTTTGTTCACTACTATATCCCCAGAACCTAGCAAAGAAAAGAAACTCGACAAATATTTGCTGAATAAATGAATAAATGCAAAGTAGGAAAGCCAGCACTGCTTAACTCAACCTTGTGGGTTTGGGCAAAGCTTGCTGAAGAGACACCCGACTTAGTCCTTGAAGAATAAATAAGAGGTTAACAAGCAAAGTCAGGGAAGAGTGTTGAATGTAGAGCGTACACGAGGGTCCAGAGATATGAAGCAAGCAGTCTGCTATCACTAGAGCTGCCAGTGCCAGAAGCGAATGGCAGGAAATAAGGCTGAGGGAAACCAGGGCTAAGGCAGCGAGGGCTTGCTTGATGGCAGATAAGGAATGCGGAATTAATTCTGTGATCCCACAGCACCCTCGAACATTTTGCCACAGCACCTAACACCTTTTACTGAAACCATTTGCTTACATATTTGTCTCCCTAATTAGTCTACAATAATAGTAGAGGGCAGAAACTTCCTATGCACTTGTGCATCCCCAGGGCATGGCAGAGAGACTGGCTCACTTTAAGCACGCATGTGTTGAACTGGCAGAGTCCCAGAAGGCATGGAAAAGAGGATGCCTACCGTGAACACTTTTAAGGCAGCACAGTGTAGTTCAAAGAAGGGTTGAGTACTGATGCCACGGAAGAGCTCCATCGGGTCCCGAGATAAAGAAGAAAACCAGGATTCTGTCATCCTCAGGAGGTCATCAGTCTGCTGCTCAGCCTACAAGACAGAAAAGGAAAACCTCAAGACATTAGGAAGTCAGGAAACCTGGGTTCTGCTCATACCCTGTCATTAACTAGCTGTGTGAGCTCTGCCAAGTCTGGAGCATTCTTCCCCAACTCAGCCCAGACTTCCCCAGTTTTGTCTTGTTTCTTTTTTGATGGGGTTGATTAAGCAATCTCTAGGGTCCTATCCAGTTCTAATACTCTATGATTCCACTTTAACTTTAAAAATGTCACTAGTCACATAATGAGGGTTCTCTTCTTTCACTAAGAGTGGGAGAGATGGCATTTATTTGGTCAACATTTATAGTAAGTTAACTAGTATTATACAGACATATTCTCCCCCAGATACACCACTGTTCTTCATTACTTTCCCAATCTACTTACTGGTAAATAAAAAAGAGATGAAATTGCATCCAAACACCTAATTTTGAGCTCTGTTGAGGCATTCTTTGCTTGATATCCTATTCTCATCAGCAAACGTTCAAAGCGAGTTCCTTTGAAGAATAACAAGATATTTTTTACTATGGTAAAATACACATAACCTAAA